TTTTCGCTTTTGTTGCAACATTTTCGTTCTAATTTTGTGAGTCCTTCCTTCTCGCTCTTAATTTCTGACTCAATATACAAAAATTAGTGAGAGAAAATTTAATAAACGCATTTTAATTTTAATTACAAAAAAAAAAAATTATTTGCTTATTTCATTTATTTATTTTATTTAACATTTCTAAAGAGTTCAAATATTTACTGCTTTCCGGTATATCAAATTTTAGTTATTTTAGTTATGAATTCCAATTCCGCGACATAATGTACGTGTCATTAATTCTGAATATTACTTTAGTTACTGTTTTGTATGTGCATTAAAAATTTTTAATAATATGTGAAAAAATAAATAACGTTAAAAATATTTTAATTTTCAATTTTTAAATTTTTTGCTTTAACAAAATAATTTTTAAAATGTCATTTGCAAACATACCGAAAATGCGAATGACTTCATTAACATGATTATCAGATATTTGACATGATCGAAAACGGCGGTTCTCATGATAAGACTATACAATAATAAAATATTAAGTGAATTTAAAAAAATTTAATATAACATTTAGAGATTAGTATTCAATTTGAAAGCTAAAAATTTATTAATTAAATATTATAAAATGCAATAAATTTAACGAAATCAAATTGAGTCTTTGAATTAAATTAAATTCACCGATGATATTATAATAGATAGACGAAACTAGTAAAGAAAAATAATAAAAATAATTTTAAATTTGAAAAACAATAAGAATATTGTAAAACAAAATAATACTTAACAGAATTACTTAACAAAATGTCACATCAAAAGCCGAATAAAAAAAACTATTAAATTTATACTTAATTAAATTAAAAATAAAAACTAGAGAGAACTAGAGAAATTGTGAAACTCAATTTTCGTTTAATCAACTTTTTGTTACAGTAACAATTTAAATGTTTTGTCTTTGTGACCACAGAATTTTTATAGCTTTCAAAAAAAAAATAACATAATAAATTACATATATTTTAATTTTTAATATTTTTACATAATTTTTCTCTTCTCTTTCTCTTTTTCATTTCATTCTGCTCTTCAACACTTAAATTAAAAACAAATATACCATAATAATAAAAATAAAATAAAAATTAAAAATAATAATAAAAAAAAAAAAAATAAACAACTTTGGTTTTTTTGGTGCTCAAAAAAATAAATATTAAATATTTGCGTACATACAAAAAAAAAAAAATGAAAAAAAAAAAAAAATTTCCTATAAATTTTTTAAATATAATTTGTGATTTTTTCGTTTTTTCTTTTTTCTAATACACATTTACAAAACAACACAATAAAATTAAAAAAAAAAAATAAAATAAAATTAAATATCCTTTTTTTTTTTTGTTTTGTTTTGCTTTATTTTTTTTTTGTTTTTTAAACATAATATGCGTTTTAATAGCCCATAGTGCATTTAAAATTTTCATTTTAATTTTTTTTAAATTTTTTTTTTTTCTTTTTAAAATAAATAATTTTTATTTTCTCTTTCATAATTAAATTTGTTTAAAAACCTTTTTTTTGTTTTAATTTTTCCGTTTTCAAATAATTTTTTTTCTTTATTTCTTATTTTTCAAATTCAATATTTATATTTTGTTTTTCAAATTTTTTTTTAATTTTATAAAAACTAATTTTTGGCACTAACATCTTCTCTTATATAACATAGCCATGTAACATATACAATATAATATAATTAATTATTTTTTTGTATTTAAATTTACTTTTAAGTCATCAATAATAATTAATTAATAATGATAATTTTATTAGAAATATTAAACAGACATGATCACTCTTATTAAAATATTTAAAAAAAAAATTAAATCAAATCAGTAAATAAATATAATATTTATTATATCGTAATTTTTTTATATCGTATTTAATAAATCATAAAATATTTTTCAATTTTTTTGATATTCAAGTCAATTTATTGTTTATTTGAAATTTACTTTTTGGAAACTGGCCTCATGCATTCTTAATGTTTCGAGCACAATATTAATTTTTTGTTTTTCGATTATTTATTATTGGGTTTTTCAATATGGCAATATAATAATTGAAGTATACACTAGCGATCTCTGAATTATTTGTTTTTTTGTTAAGATGTGTCAATATTAAAATGACGAGATTCAAAATTTATATTGTATTTTTCAATAACAGACAACATATACACCGAAATTCGGAAAAATAAATTAGTTTTTTACAATAATTGTTGCAATATATCGTTAACAGCGTCTTATTACAAAATTTTTTATAATCCGAACAGAATGTAAATCAGTGTTAGTACACATTTAGGAATTTTAATTGGTAACATAATAATTTCTGAATAATTACGCTCTTTTGTTATTAAAATTGCAGTCGACATTTTGTATATTTGTTCGTAATTCAATAATAGTCAATTTTTAATAAGTGAACAGCCCAGCGAATTTGCTCAATTTACCAAATAATATGAAGAATTATGTGTAATTCATATGTTGTTATGTTACAGCAAGTTGTAATTAATATGTTGTTAACATTACAGCAAGAAATATGTATTGAAAAGTAGAGAAAAATTGGCTTCACAAAATTTTACAGCGATAAATTTTTATTTATGAGTCTCGTGTCAATTATATCAAATTCGGTATTATATATTCTAACTCTAACACATTATAGGCTTTTTATATAAACTGTATTACGATATTATGTAATAAAAACTGCACTATATTTTCTCTTCTTAAACAAATGTTGCGCATGAAGTTTGTTTAGAAACATTGTCAAATTATTTGCAATATAGTGAACTGTTTTGCCTTTATTAAAAATATATATTGCATATCTACCGAATGTTACACATTTGCAGTACTACTTTTACGAAAATCTCTTATTCACTCCCGTTTGGAATAAATGAGGTGCTAAGCGCATTAGTGACCTATCCAACATTTTTACAAAAATGAGTTTTTATGTTCAAAAGAGTTGTAATGGCCTAAAGAATTGTTGTATATTTTCAAAATAATTAGTTTACTCCTCTTTTCACTCTATTTTGACATAAGTTCGATTTTGCCTCTTAAAAATTTTCTTAGAAATCAAATATTTAACAATTCAAACGCAATTTACTCGAAATTTCATTTTTGCAAGTAGGCTACTAATACGTTGAGCGTCTCAAATGTCAAATTATTATTACCTTATTGAAAAACCCTATTTTTAAATATATTTTTTTTCTCTTAAGTCTTAATCTTAAATATAAATAGAACATTTTTTTTTTATTGATAGTCAATATGTTATACATATAATATTTTAGTAATATCATGTCTGAAATGTATGTATGCGGTATTTTTAATAATGTAGCAGTAAAACAAGAAGAAAAACATATTGTTTTTTTTTTATACATAATTATGTTTAACATACTTATAAAATATTATTTTTGTTTTTATTTAGGAAATTAACATTTTTTAAAATTTTATAATTTTTTCATTTCTTTAAATAAAAATATAGTCATTTACAACGTGTGTGATTTTTCTTATAATTTAGAACAGATAACAGCCCTTTATAATATAAAAATATTTCTTAATAATTAAAAAAAAATAAAAATAAAAATTATAATTAATAATAATTAATAAATTGTATATATATATATAGTTTTTTATAATATTTACTAATAAATTAAATAAAAACTAAAATTTTTTTCGTAATCTGAATTTTTTACATCATCATCATTTGTTTTTGTTTTTTTTTTTTATTATTTTATATTTTTAAGAAATTATCGCAGTTGATTCGTTTTATTTTTTAGTACAAAGTTTTCATCAGTAAAATTAATAGCAGTATTTTATGTATTATCTGTTGATTTGAATTACATAAAAAATAACCATTGAGAGTATAGTTAAACTAAACTCAATATACAGAAATCTGTTATACATATATATTTATATACGATTACTTAAGAGTACTGTATTCAATATTTTATTTATTATATAGCTTAGTGCAATTAAAATGTAAAAGGATATCGTAAGGTACAATTAAAGAGGTGTTTCCTTTATTTTCATTATTTAAAGGATTTACAAAAAAAATAAAAAAGAGAGGAAAGAGAAAAGAGAAAAATGAAGGAAAAAAGCTTCAAGTTTCTATATGAATTCGATATTAATTATTTTTATTATAAATTACAGTTTTTATATTGATTTGAAGTAGAAGAAGATTGTGGATTTTGTATAATACAGGGTGATTAATAAAATAACAATTTTTTCGATATAAATTATTTAAGTAAAGTAAATTATTTTTGAGAATTATTTCGTTTTATTTGAGGCATAATAACGATTGTGATAATAAAAAGAGAATCGTATTTATTGTTCAACTAAAACTATTCGCAAGAAATTTAAAAATTACTATTGTGAATAATATCTCATTTTTTGACATTGAGGGCAATCTGTCTTTTTGTTTATTTTCTTGCGAATTTTGTTTTTCTGCAAGAATTTCAAAAAAAGACGTAAGGATTTGGAAATATGAGAGAATAGAAGTCTTGTTTACACAAAAAAAAAAGAGTGCCTTGACACAGTTTTTGCCAAAATTTTAAAAATTATCAATTGTTTGCAACTAAATTTTGACAGTTAAAGCCAACAAATTAAAGTTGTAAAATAAAATGTCAATAAATGTTAGTAAGCTTACGTAAATAAAAATTTTATTTTTAAAAATTTGAAAAAATTTGAAAGAATATTTACTCATTTTTGAATCATTTCTCTTCTCTTAAAATTCAAAAACACATTATGAATAGGGTCAAAAATTCTGTCAAAATTCTATTAAGCTGAAATGAACCTATTGAGTTATGTGAAATTTTATTAAATATTTTTTATGTAAACAAACGGACATTAATTGCAAAACGAATTCTTAAACATGGTGGAGTATCAAAAAATTTTGACAATTTATTAAATAGTGTCAATTTGTTGGTATTTAAATTTTCATCACCAATTATTTTGAAAATTTTACTTATTTTGAAAATGAATATCTAGAATGGCAGAAATATTAAGTATTTATTGTGAATGAGATGCATAATTAGTGACAGCAGGGTATTTGAAACGTAAACTAATATTGATCTGACGTAATAATATTTCAAATTAAAATGTGTTATTTCATAACACCCTGTATTATAGTTTTTGTAAGTATTTGTGTGAATAAGTTTTTAATATATTTTTTAAATTTACTTGTGTATAATAAAAAATTCTTTGTTATATTTTTTTTTTTAATTTTCTTTTTGTATTGTATGTATGAGTGTATGTTTGTATGTATAATATGTTTAGAATATTAAAGTATATTGTATAAAAATAATGAATGAGAAAGTTTGGAGGATATGTTACCGATTCCTTTATATACATTATATGTATGTATGTATGTAAATATATTTATTATGTAAATATATATGTATATGGAAAAATGTTAGAAGCTCTTAACTGCACTATTCATACGACCAAAAAAAAAAAAAAAAGAATTTGTTATTATTTTTGTTATTTCAATTTTTAAACAGACTTTTTTTTTAAATTTTTCTTTTTTCTCTTTTAAATTAACTTATTTGCTACTTAATATAGGAAGAGATTTTTATTTTTTTTTTATATTATATAATTTCTTTTGTTTGTTTTTTTTTTTGTTTTTTTTTTTATGTTTTTTATTTTTTAATAGTTGATTCAACTCATTAATATTTTGATAAGTATTAAATGTAAAATCAATTTTTTTGGGCTTTATTGTCTTATTTTCGCTACGATTCATTGTCTTCAGATTGAGCATCTTCTGGTGGTGTTTTCTTAATGCAATCACGAAGGATTTCCAATATTATTTTAACACGTCGATCTAATGCTGTTAAATGAGGATCCCATAATATAGGATTAATTGGATCAGTTGACATTGATTCTCTCATCAATTGTGATAAACGTTTAGGTCCATTATGAAACCTGTTATATATGTACATATAAATGAAATGAATGATATTTTTTTATGTGTGTGTGTGTGTGTATTTACTTATCATAGTATTATATCAGAATTATTCGAGAAATTTCATTATGAAAATTTTATAGAGTTATTGATTGTAATATTTATTCGGTAAGTAATTTTCAAATATAAAAAATATGAACAGTGTTACCAAATACTACGTTATTAATTATATGTATATTAATTACCAGCGTTGTTTCCCGCCTTATTACTCTAATGGGCAGAAACTGAACTATGGTACTATCATTAAGTCAGGCAATAGTTCATACTTAATTGTAGTTCAAATGTTTTTCATTTTTAATGTAATTGTCTTCAAATTTATAGATCAAGAAAATAAGCTTATTAGTATGTGAATGTGGCACTTTGAAAGTGACAATAATTTTGTATTTCTGCGCCATATAAAGAAGGTTTGTCAGATATTTTCAGCAATTTGGTTATCGGATAATCGTTAATTAGGGTAGCAAAAATATTTTTCATTACACATCAATCTAGAATTTTAAAATCGAACTTGCTTCAAATTAATTTTTAAGAGTTCTACTTTTATTTTTTGTCACATGCTCAGTCTATAATCATATTGGCATACGAACTATTCTGTCATATTGTTAATCGTATTATAACATTTAATGATGATTAAAAAACAAGAACACGGCAAGTAGCTGAATTAACATTTTTTGGGTTGTGTTTTTGTAGCAACACCTAATACAATATTCAATAACACATAACCGGAATTTGTTTTGTTGAAATGAAACTTCGAATAGTTCTGATCTAACAGTCTCAAATTATGTAAAGAACATTTTGTAATTAACAAAATTGCAAATGAATTCATTAACTTCATTTTAAATACAAAAACCAATACAAATAGAAATTTTTTGTCTACTCACTGTAAAAGAGTTTCTAAAGTTGACTGTCTTATTAAACAACATTGTATAACAGGTGCTAAAATTGTCATCTCATCGTGAAATGGTTTTCCAAAACCTCTTCCATGATCTAAATGAAGTGTAAATGTATCATTTCCAAAAATCCTTGAAAAAAAGAAAAAAAAAACAGAAAAAATTTTATAACTTTAATGTTATCGTAATTTTTATTTTGTTAAGTCTTTAAGTGTGTTAATCGTTAATAGCAGATTATTTTCATATACTTATACTTTATATGACACACATATATACACATGTTTATAAATGACTGTATAAAATATATAAGAAAACGATTAGACGACTACTTTGCAAATATTTTTGATTTCATCCTTTTTCTATTTACACATTTTTTTCTACTATTCTCTCATTTGTTTTTCTATTTATTTTGTTTGTTGATTACCTTATTTAAGAATAACGAGTTTGGGTTATTTTTAAAGTATATATATTATTAAATAGTAAACAGGAAGAGGAAAGTTGTCTGCATGAAAACAAAAACACATTCCGTAAATAGATGCAAAGGCGGTAGAATTGTTTGCGTGTTTGAGTTTTAATCGTTTGGTTACGCATACGCTAAACGAAATATTGTGATATCATAAAATTTTGACATATGGAAATTTTGACAGAAAAGTAATTCTCTTTGAAACAATTTGTAGTAAAATTGTCGGTGCATACTTTTATATTTCAGTTTTAATTGACCCAATAGAGGCTCAAATGACCCAATTGAATTTACATGTTCGAAGTATAATTTATTAACTGTTAAGAAACATAGGGTTCCAGCAGAATCATGTTGGTAAATTTTTGTTTTTATTAAGAACACTGCGTGCCAATGCTATATTTTTCGTATTTTCAAAAAAGTTGTCAAATTTTCTTGAAATTACAATTATATAACATAAGTTTTCTCCGAATTAAATTAACGGAGGAAGTTTTCACTGAAATCAAAACTTAATAATCGAATTACCAATAGTTGTTAGTTTCACATTTGTGACCTTATTTAACGAAATCATTTGGTTTCTCTGTTCAAGCTTCAATATTTTAGATCTAATTGCCAAAAGAATAAATTAACAAAATTTTCGAGAATGTCTGAATCTAGATTGATTTTTTCTAAAAATTAATTTTACATTTTGACAATAAAAATAGAAAATATTTAAGGGCTATCTTTCAATTAAGAGCTTAATAATACATAATATATATTTCGAATATTCGTATAGTGGAATTTTCGATTAAGAACAATTTTTTCGTATTCCGTTAGTTGCTTTGTGCTAAATCTTTATAAAATTTAGTCACCATTCATTGATCTTGTTTTTAAAGGTCATTCTCAGTCAATATTTTGAGGAAAAATGATAAAAATTTCCCTGCATTTAATTTTTGAAAATAATATGGGATGCATAATCAGACTGTAAATATTTAAGCACTTTTTAACAAGTCTAAAATCTCTAAACTAAAGAATTTTGTTGGAATTTGAAAACTGGACTTCCAAAATTGCATTTAACAACAATTTCCTACCTTAAAAAACCATTTCTCACTAAAAACTACATATGCGTTCGATTATGTGTTGGCCACACCAATTGTTTAATTGCTACTATCATCAACTTCTTTTCTATTTTTTTTTTTTTGGCCTAATTTGTTTTTTTATTCCTCTCTTTTACTCAACTCTCTTTCATAAGTTCAAATATACAAAGAGTACCTATATGTTTATATACATGTATTCTTTTCAGGTCATAATGTAACCAGCATGATACTAATGACTTAATTTCATTGAAAAGTGTTATATAGTATAAGTGTTATATAGAAGTAACACCTTTAATATACTTATATAATATTATACTGACAAACACCTTTTATAACTCACAAACATTGAAATACAAAAAAAAAAAAATAAAAAAAAATATTGGCACCAAAATATGTGTATGTATAGATTGTTGTTTTGCTAGACTTAGCCGACAAATTTCAAAACAATGATCGGAAATTTATTAAATTAGCTTATTTAATAAGCACATACATACATACATATAAATAAATATAAAATTTGTGTAGACAAATGTAAACATTATTCGAAAAATAAAATGGGTATAAAACTCAAAAACAACTACCAAATACAAAGAGAAAAAATAAAAACAAAAAAAAAATTGGACGATACATCTGACAAAACATTTATTCTATTTCTTTGTAAACTCTCAAATTTAATTAAAGCTTAGAAGATGAAGAAAAATAAATCTAAACAAAAAAAAAACAAAAAGTAAAAAAGTCAAAAAAAAAAAAGTTTTTCTTTTGTAATATACTTTTCAACTCAAAGGCTTTGTTAAATTTTCAACACAACAAAACTTTTATACAAACATACATACATATTGTACCTATAAAATTTATATAGACATACATACATACATACAATATATATTATTATGTCTGTATTTAAAATCTTAAGATTTGTTATAATAGATTTTTCAAAGAAAATGTCATTAAAGATTGGATAAGTTTTGTGTATAGTAGATGACATGGCTGACAGTTTGCTGATTTCTTAAAATTTTCTATATATGTATATACTTATATATAAATATAAGAAAAGTAAGAAAATATATAAACAGTAACAAAATAATAAAGAGAACTTTTTAGTGGAGTTTTTCAATTTATATCTTAAAATATAATGTTTTTATATATGTATGTATGTATATGTATATATACAATATAATAAATTTTATTTCAATGAAAATGTAAGGGCGTTAAACAATTTCATTTGTGATGTGCTCTCTCTTTACTCCTATATACATACAATAATATAATATTTTAGTTGTAAAACTTGAAAATAGAATCATAAGAGAAAAAAAAAAAAGTATTCTACATTGCGAATGATAGAAATCTTTTATCAAGCTAAAGGGCACTTGAAAAACTTTTGATTTAAAATTAAAAAGTTATAATAACAAAAATATTACATGTTTCTTATACTTTTTTTTTTATATATAATTTTATATAACAATATAAATTGTATAATATTTTAAAATCACATTGGTATTATACAAAATAAAATATTATGTAAGATATCGCAGTGTTATGGGAGAGTGTGTAAAACTAAAAATCAAATGAAATATAAAACATTGATAGAAAATTTTATTTAAAAATTATTTTCAATTCTCATACCCCCCCCAATATATGGAGCACTAAAAATAAACTTTTTTAACATCAATTTATTTTTTGTATCTGTAGAGTAAAAATTTTTCTCAATTGTTTCCGAATACAAGTAAACTGTAACATTTTTTTTTTTTGAAATTTATCACACATACCTAATTCAATAAATTTCGATTAGAAGATTTTAATTGTGTAAATAAATTGTAATATTTTAAGTGAAAATTTAATTTTTTAACAAAGTTTTTGTTATTAATTTTCATTATTAGATTTGCTGCTTTAACAGACTCGTAGTTATCAGAGGAGTATTCATATTAATTTATCATTCCATTTGAAATACTAAATAATTACTGCTAAGCCAAATAAAAGAGAAATTTAAATACACTCTTAGTCAGAATCGAGTTCTGAGACGATTTGGTTGTGCCTTTCCGTCTGCCTATTACAAGAGTAGCTTAGACTAATTGCAATAATTTTATATAATTCTGTTAACTCATATAAAATGATAACCGGGAAATTTTCTATTAATTTATTGATAACCATCAATGTCTTAATATTTTAATTGAATTAAATTTGAAACAAAGATTTAAAAAAAAAAATTGCATATTTTTAGGGGAATTATTTTTTAAAAATTTTATTCTTTGCTCGCGTAAATTACATTTGAACGACGTTAAGATATAAAAACAATAACAAGGTTTTTAATATAATTTATTTATAAAAAAAAAACAAATCTAATTATGCCAACAATAAGTCATCAAAATAAATCATCAATTATCAAAAATATAAACCATAATAAAAACTGTGATTTAAAGAAAATAAATTAAAAAATATTTTAGAATTTGATTTGAACTCAAAACATAGTTAATTTCAAAAATAATGTCATAATTTTTTTTATGTAAAACAAAAGAGTAAAATTAAAATTTAAAAAAAAAACAATTGCATACTTTTAGGTGTATATATTTTATGCCTGTGCGAACGAATGTGCGACAGCACGGAAACACAGTGAGATAAGTTTGCAAAATTTATTTTCAAATTTCATTTTTATCAAGAGTGACGTCTGCGTTATATTGCTTAATGCTGATAGACATATTGCTTATACATATTATTCTTGTTTGGTATGAAATTCTGAGCCAATTTATCTTTGTCTCATTTTTTTCAAAATATTACCGGACGAATACTAATTAGTTTCGACAAAAAACTCATTCGAGTAGCAGCTATAGAAATTGACAAATAATTTACTCATATCTTGAAAATCATAAATCGTGCCAAATTTTGTGAAAAGTGAAAATTATTGCCAACAGCTAGCAAAGCAATTCCAAAAGTAATTTGACAATATTTCTAAAACTGCTAAGACCACCGTTTCCAAATATAGCAGATAGGACAAGTGATAGGCCAACCACTTTAGTTAAATTTAATAGCGCCAATAAAAAATTTTATAATATAGCTACCATCCAACTCTAAAAATAAGTTGTTCATTTCTTAGAAACTATATTAACACCATTATGAACAAAATGTTAGGAGAAGCTCGTATGAACTCTTTTATGTCATATAACTCTTGTAAAGTTTCGTACGAGTATCACAGACTTTAATCGGTCAATTCTATATTTTCTCGTTTTTGTACTAAATTTATGCACACAAAACTTACATTAAATTAATTGATTGTACTGACAACGTACAGCAATCATCTTAGCACATATAAATTTTTACTATTTTTTAATTAAAAAAGATAAGAGCATTTCAATTTTAATATTTTTTTTTTAGATAAAATTCTTTATAACACTGTTGCTTACCAAAACAAAATAAATTAAAATTATTTCTTGTCAGTTTTGTGTTTTCTTTATTAACTCCAATAAAATTATTAACTAGATTTCGACATTAAAAATATTGGAATTAATCAAAAAAAAACCAAAAAAAAAAACAAGAGAGCACAAATTTGTAGACTACTTAATGTAAATTTATTAAATTATAAGGTTTGAGGTCAAAAAATTTAAGAA